TAGAATATTTCTTTCAACATCTAAAGACATCCCATCTGCTCACCGCCTGGCCTTTGTCCGTATAAAATTGTACAAATGTTTTGACAGAGGCGGTGCTACTGTTGTAAAGAAAAGAAGGAGCAGCTTTAGGCCCCCAAACCCGATCCAAGCATTCATATCTGATATTCTTTGATATTCTCCCAATTAGATCATGAACAGTGACACAAGAAGATTATATTGTCAAATAAATGTAATCTACCAAAGTCATTGGAAACATTAGAACACAATTGAATAATTAAAAAAGATATAGAAAAAAACAGATTTCGAAGATTAGTTAAAAATAATACTCTGGAGAGAAAACAAATACTGAAAGATAAAAAAAAATAATTCACAAGAAATTTGCAGTTTACAAATAAAAAAATACCAACATATTATACAACATTGCTAAAAAGAAAAAAGCGAAAATATTACTAAAAAGTTCAGTTTACAAGTAGAAACAGTAAAATAAAAACAAGTGATGAACAACATTTCAAACAAGAGAAAACAAGAATTTACAGCAAAATAGATATAAAAACCACAAACAAAATTACTACAATTTACAAGTTAATAAAATGTACATTTGAGAAGGGGCCCAAACTGAACCCAGGGCCCCAGATCGGTAACTCCGCCACTGTGCTTTGAGACGCTGTTGTTGCCAGGTTGAGTCCTGTTGTCAGAAGGCTGCAGACGGCCCTCTGTATTAGAGGCTGGGATCTGGGCGGACTCACCACATCTGGGTCCGGGTGGATTTGAGGATCCAGCTCCCAGTCATTATGTGCTGTCTATTTACCGTCTCATACAAACGGCTCATTACAGTTTTCCAGTGAGGTTTGCAAACACATTTTCCTCCACGCTGCCAAAGATCACGTTACGATGATTCAGTTTGATGAGCGCGGTTTTCTTCGTGGGTGAACTTAGTAACACCATCGTGCGTCTGTTTACGGCCCACGTCTGACAGATGTGACGGCTCATTTCACTGCAACACGGACAAGATGGAGAGATGTGAAGACTTACATTAAAATCTTGACCTGTTTTCATTTTTTTTTTTTTTTTTGGTTTGTTTAGGACTTCCTGGTTTGTCATGTGCTACAGCTTTCATATTTATGCAGCTAAAAAAAAGTCTTCGGAAAATGTGAGACATGCTTCTACTCTGATGATATTCAAATCCAGGTTGAAAACAGTTTTTTTTTAGCTACTGTTTAGTACAACTGAAGGATTGTATGAGATAAGACATCCTTCATTCGTCCCACTGTGGGGAAATGTCATTGTTGCATCACCGGTTACAGAACAGTAGGAATGAGGGTGTCATGGTGTGGGTTTTATTTTAGTATTTTTGTTTTATTTTGACATTATTCTTTGTGGTTTGGTTTTAGTTGTACTTCCTGTCCTGTTTGCCCCTGTCTTGATTGTCTGCCCCGCCCTGATGTGTTTCACCTGTGTCTGTGTCTATATGTACCCTGTGCTCCTCTCCCCATGTTGCTGGTCCATTGTGTTGTTCATGTCTTTGTCTGTTCTGTCCTGCCCTGTTCCTGGTTGCTTGTGTTTTTGGATATTTGAGTTTTAACCTGGACTTTTATTTTGTTATCATTAAATAATTTTGGCATTCCGGCATTTTGAGTCCTCCATCACCTCTCCACATGACAGAGGGCACACAACACAAGATAAAGGAACTGGATGCTAAAATAAAATAAAATCTCTAGCTTTAGCATAATAAAGAAGCAAGTATAAAATCTCTAGCTTTAGCAAAATAAGGAAGCTAATCTGAAATCTCCAACTGATGAAGCAAGAATCAAGTTTTACATCTCTGACTTTTGCATGATAAGAAGTTAGTATACAGTCTCTATCTTTAGCATAATAAAGAATTAGGTTCAAAATACTGTATATTCTGGTGCATTAAATATCTAGTTGTATGTATGCATGTACGCATGTGGCCCCATTTGCACATTCTGACCTGAAAAAGTATCTTCACTCTTTTTAATGTGCTGTGATAATTTATGACTTCAATGCCTTGTGTGAGTCTTTCTGCCTGAGGGTTCTAGAAATGTGTGAATGTGGATGAATGAGGGTGTGATCGGATGTTCTTCCTGTTGTCAACCACCCTCCAAGGAAGAAATGTTTTATGTCTATAGCTAGATAGATGATGATTGTTTCTATCCTGTTTGGTTCGGAGCTTTGAGTTGTGTTTTAACTGTTCTAAACACATAAACTTGCCTTGCCTATGATGATGTACCAGGCCTGTTTATCTCAAAGAAGAACAAAACAATTCGCTCTTGTTTACTGGTTTTGGTTTCAGTGTTGATAAATGAAAGATTCCTGTGGGCCCACCACCTGCAGAGGGGTCCGTGGTGGCGTGGTGCTGAGAGGACTGGGCGGCAGTCGAAGGCGGAGACCTCGGCGACCCAGTCCGCACACACAACATCTGGCTCTTGGGACGTGGAACGTCACCTCACTGGGGGGGAAGGAGCCCGAGCTCGTGGGGGAGGTTGAGCGATACCGACTAGAGATAGTCGGCCTCACCTCCACACACAGCTTGGGCTCTGGAACCCAACTCCTTGAGAGGGGTTGGACGCTCCACTTTTCTGGAGTTTCCCTCGGGGAGAGGCGGCGAGCTGGGGTGGCCATTCTCATTGCCCCCCATCTCAGCCGCCATGTGTTGGAGTTCTCCCCGGTGAATGAGAGGGTCGCGTCCCTCCGCCTCCGGGTGGGGGACAAGTCTCTCACTGTTGTGACGGCCTACGGGCCTAACAGCAGTGCAGAGTACCCGGCCTTCTTGGAGTCCTTGGGAGGGGTACTGGACGGTGCACCAACCGGGGACTCCGTTATTCTCCTGGGGGACTTCAACGCCCATGTGGGAGTCGCCAGTGACACTTGGAGAGGGGTGATCGGAAAGAACGGCCCCCCTGATCTGAACCCGAGCGGTGTTCAGTTGTTGGACTTCTGTGCCAGTCACAGTTTGTCCATCACGCACACCATGTTCGAGCACAAGGGTGTCCACCAGTGCACCTGTTCCCGGTGAATGTTGGCCTCCGACAGGGCTGCCCTTTGTCACCGGTTCTGTTCACTGTATTTATGGACAGAATATCTAGGCGCAGCCAGGGGTCGGAGGGGGTCCGGTTCGGAGACCACAGGATTTCATCTCTGCTGTTTGCGGACGATGTTGTCCTGTTGGCTCCAACGAACCAGGACCTGCAACATGCACTGGGGCGGTTTGCAGTCGAGTGTGAAGCGGCTGGGATGAGAATCAGCACCTCCAAATCCGAGGCCATGGTGCTCGACCGGAAAAAGGTGCCTTGCCCTCTGCAGGTGGGTGGAGAGGTCCTTTCTCAAGTGGAGGAGTTCAAGTATCTCGGGGTCTTGTTCACAAGTGAGGGAAGAATGGAGCGTGAGATTGACAGGCGGATCGGTGCAGCGTGCGCAGTGATGCGGTCGCTGTATCGGACCGTTGTGGTAAAGAGGGAGCTGAGCCGAAAGGCAAAGCTCTCAATTTACCGGTCAATCTTCGTTCCCTCCCTCACCTATGGTCATGAACTTTGGGTAATGACCGAAAGAACGAGATCGCGGATACAAGCGGCCGAAATGAGCTTCCTCCGCAGAGTGGCTGGGCGTTCCCTTAGAGATAGGGTGAGGAGCTCAGTCACACGGGAGGAGCTCGGAGTAGAGCCGCTGCTTCTCCACGTCGAGAGGAACCAGTTGAGGTGGCTCGGGCATCTGTTCCGGATGCCTCCTGGACGCCTCCCTGGGGAGGTGTTCCGGGCACGTCCCACCGGGAGGAGGCCCCGCGGAAGACCTAGGACACGCTGGAGAGACTATGTCTCTCAGCTGGCCTGGGAACGCCTTGGGGTCCCCCCGGACGAGTTGGAGGAAGTGTGTGTGGATAGGGAAGTCTGGGCGTCTCTGCTTAGACTGCTGCCCCCGCGACCCGACAACGGATAAAGCGGAAGAAAATGGATGGATGGATGGATGGATAAATGAAAGAGTCTCGGTGTGCGTTTATCCTCCCCATAGACCACCGCCTTCCAAGAAACTGCCCCTGTGTTATACAAATCAAACAAACTCTGGAAGTTCCAACACTGTGTAAAAAGCCTGCAAGCTTGACACAGTTGCACTAGTTAGGTCAGGAAGAATGGGGCAGAATTCCAGCCAACAAATAATAAACGTTTCTGGAAGATTCTCAAATGCTTGATCCAAGTCACAGGTTTAAAGTATTTTGACTTGTACCAATGAAAAGTTTGTAAACCTCTCACTTTGTAGAAGGTGTTTCTAAACATTTGAATACATTACCTCTCAATGTTGTGGCATTGGTAGAAATTATGTTGCTTTTGTCGGATGTAAAGCTGGGGTACCCAACTTGTATTTATTTTTTTTTCTATACATGCAGACATATGGAACAAAAGACAAGGCGCATGGCCAGGATAATGGCGCCGTGGCACAGTGGGGTGGTCTTGCACAGTTTCTCCAATATGGTTTTACTGCAAATGGCAAATAAATTCTTGAGCCCTAACTCTAACCTTGAAAGAAAAATAAAACACACAGCAAAACAAAATAAATAAATAAAAATAAAATAAAGTAAATATTTCAACACTCATGCATCCTCACAGGTACACACACAGGCAAACACACACCCTTGCACACATACTTTTTGTTTTTTTAACTTTTTGTTTTATAGATGATAAATATAAGATCACAAATCAGATTAGAAAACATGTTGCATTCTTTTAAGCCCTGTGAGTCACTATTTGAGGTTGAAAGCTGATTGGCTGAGTGAGGGTGGTCCTTTTTCTTTACTTTTCTTTGACAGGGCAACAAAGTACACGCAAGGGAAAACTACTGATACAACTAAACTGTTTTGAAAGCGAAAGAACCCCAAAAATCTGGTTTCCACTGAATGTACTGTATGTGGAGCTTCTTGGGGTCATTTCGCCCTTTCTGAATAAATAAATAAATGAAATGATAAATAATAAAGTCTCTCTTTTGTCTTTCAGGACCGTATCTCGCTGTGGCAGGAGCAGACGGCCCGGTATGCCTCGGAGTTGCGCGAGCTGAAAGTGCAGATGGTGTCTCAGCTGGAGGGCCTGGACAAGGAGAAGGAGGCCCTGAGGATAAACCTGGACTCGGTGGGGACCAGGGTGGACCGTGTGGAGCGAGAGCTGGACTATCTGGAGACGCAGACCGGAGCGCAGCCCTGTGTGGACGTGGACGACAAACTCATCGAACAGCAAGTGTCGCTGGTGCAGGAGAAGCAGAGGAGCAAGTACCAGCAGCTCTCAGGTGCTTTGGACTCCTTACTACACTGCAAAAAAAGCTCAAATATTGGGGAAAAATAACTCAATTTAAGTGTATTTGAGTACAGTCTGATTGTCTTATACTTGCAAACAAGATTTGCTAGTAGAAAAAACTGTTTAGTCTTTTTTCCAAAACTGTTGCTTTTTTTTCCCATTCCAAGGGAGACATTTCTTGTATCTTTTAAAAACAAGATAATTTAGCTTGTCCTGTTGGCAAATCTCGTTCTCGTTTAAGGTAGTGCTTGAATTAAGACACATTTAGCCAAATTTGAATATCTATGGTCTATTTTCAGCATTCAGCAATTTTACAGTGCGTTGGAAAAGTATTAATACAGCTTATACTTTTGCCCATTTAGTCATGTTTACAACAGTGAAGTGAAAGTAAAATGATACATGGTTCTGTGATGTTTAAAACAATAGAAAACTGAAAAGTTGGGCAGTATTCATGCTTTGTGGAACCCCCTTTTTGGATATGATTCCACAAGATTTGCACATCTAGAGACATAAGTTTAGCTCATTCCTCTTTACAAAACAACTGGAGCTTTGTTTAATTAGGCCCGAGCCCCGAACGGGGTAAGGGCCTATTGCTTTCACAATGCTGAAAACAAATGGTGGCGGTGCGTGACGGACGCATCAGCGCCCGTCACTCACCAAAACGTGACGGTTGCGTGCGTAAACTCAAAAGCTTTAAAATGATGTATCACGTGCCATTGAAACCTATATTGTTTTTGCTCGAGACGTCAAAAAAAAAATTCCTTTTTTATTTCTTTCTTTCTTTCTTTCTTTCTTTCTTTCTTTTTTCTTCTGCACTTTGAGCCTTAATTTGACCCCCTGAACATGCATGAAAAGTTGTTAAATTTTGCCCAAAAATCAGACCTGGCGAAAAATTTGATATTTTGGTGTTTATTTTAATGGGACTCAAAAAATGCCGGAACAGCGCCACCTACAACAGCCAAAATAATACCCCTATGGGACTTTTAGAGATCAAGTTTGTTGTAGAGCCATGAAATTCGGTACACATGTTACTCAAGTCAAGACAAGAAAAAAATATTATTATGGCCCCGCCCCCTGACAAACAGGAAGCCCATAAATTTCACTGCAAAATGGAAAAATGAACAGCAAAAGTTTTCATACATGTCGGTTGGAAAGCGACTCCTCCTCGGCCGTTTCACAGATTCACCTCAAAATCGCTCCACATCATCTCAACACATGTACCTTCAAAATGACCTCAGGGATTTTTGATCAGTGAAACATTGTGTGAGCAGCGGAGCGGCAAAATGTGACCTTTTTTTGGCCGTTTTTGACAACATTAAATTTGCTCCCGTTTGCACAAACAAAGTCTGATTTGCACAAAACTTTAATACATTGTTCAACTCTTGGGTCTAAGTCATTTGAAAGTGAATTGATTCAAATTGACACATTAGCGCCCCCTACAGACCATTTCAAAATTTTAGATGGGCATTTTCAAATTTAGTTTTTTCAAAATGTTTGACATTTTGCACATAAATCTGTTTTGCCCTCTTGATTCAAAAAGTCAATAGGGTCCAAGGCTTATCTTTTACCCTGTTGCCATGGCGACGACAAACGCTCCCCTTTCATTGCAAATGTACACCTCACACAAACATCAAACCAGCCTCGGCCGTTTCACCGATTCGCCTCAAAATCGCTCCACATCATCTCAACACATGTACCTTCAAAATTACTTCAGGGAATTTTGGTCCGTGAAACGTTGTTTGAGCAGCGGAGCAGCAAAATGTGAGGGTTTTTTTGGCTCTTTTTGACAACATTAATTTTGCTCCTGTTTGCACAAACAAAGTCTGATTTGCACAAAACTTTAATCCATTGTTCAATTCCAGGGTTTAGGTCAGGTGAAAGTGAAATATTTGAAATTGGCCCATTAGCGCCCCCTACAGACTGAAGCAAAGTTTACATGGGGAGCCAAACCAGCTCTACTTATCATATTCATTACAATTTGACTAACATTCTTCTATGGCTACGGAAACAAATCATCACACGGCGGTGCCACCTCCTTTTAGCGGTGCTGCGTGGTACGGTGTGGTGCGACGTAGTGCGGGGTGATGTGGAGCGGCGCGTTGCGGCTTGGTGCGGGGTGGCGTGGTGCGGGACGGCATGGTGCAGGGCGGCTTGGTGCGGGGCGGCGTGGTGCGGGGAGTGCGCGCGGTGCAGGGAGTTGCGCGGTGCGGCGAGGGCCGTTCGACGCCGCTTGCGGCTTTAATTAGAGTTTGGTCTTTCCATAGATGTTCTGTTGGATTTAGGTCTGGACTGTAAGTAAACTCTCAGTGTGACATTCAAACTAAAATCTTGGTTTATAGTTGCAAACCTGAAAAAAATTGCAAAAGTTCATGGTGTATTAATACTAGAGGCTCTGTGTTAATGTAAAGAAATAACTATTCCAAAGGTTATGCTCCAGTGCCAATATCACCTGAACATATTTGTGTTATTTGTTTTTCACACATTCGTTAGATTATAAAATCATCTCTAGGATTTTTCAACCCAACCTTTTCCTCTGCTCTTCTCAGACTGCAGCGACATGATCTCCAGCATCAAAGCCATGAAGATCCTGAAGCGTGTGGGCGGGCCTAAAGGCGTGTGGACCAAAGACACGGGCCTGAACTCTGGTAAACTTTACATCTTCAACAGCACGGACCAAGACACAGTCTATGAGTTTGCTTCGGTGCAAGAATTCACCCGCTCCGCCGACTTATCGCTCTCCAAAAAGCTCCACCTGCCCATCTCCTTCAAAGGCACGGGTCAAGTCGTGTACCAGAACTTCGCCTACTACGTGAGCCAATCAGAAGACAGAATCGTGAAGTTTGATTTGAGCAACGGCACACTCTCTGACAGCGCCATTTTGCCTTTCCAAGACTACATCCCCGCGTATACATTGAATTCGGACACTCTTATCGACTTGGCGGTGGACGAAGAAGGACTTTGGGCTATCTATGCGACCAAGGAAAGCGATCGCTACATCTCGTTGGCTAAAATGGACGTGAAAACGCTGGACTTGGAGCAAATGTGGGACACAAACTGCCCGCGGGAGGATGCGGAGGCCGGGTTTGTGATCTGCGGGACCTTGTATGTGGTCTACAACACGGCGCAGCCGGGCCGCTCCAGAGTGCAATGTGTGTTTGACGTCAACGGTTTGGTGAGCAGCGATGAGGCTCCGCTCGTGTACTTCCCCAAACGCTACGGCGCGCATGCTAGCCTCAAGTACAACCCGCAGGAAGAACTGCTGTACGCGTGGGACGACGGTTATCAGATCCTCTACAAGCTGGTGATGACCAAGAAGCTGGAGATATAAGCCATGATACATGTGTGCAGCAAACAAATACAGCTGAAGGTTCGGATTAGAACCCAGAAATTAGAATATTGTTTTGGCATTTAACTTAAAATGTGAAACTAAAGTATGATACAGACCAGTGGTGGGTAAATCCCGGCCCCTGGGGTATGCTGATTAAGAATGAAGACTTTCTGTGCTACGTGCAGAGCTAAGGATCATAATATATACAATATTATATATTTATGTGCAAAAAAATAAGCCTAAGAAAAGAACAGCAAATTGTGCCTGGCCCCGAAGGCAGCGCTGATATTCAAACGTGGCCATAAGGAAGGAAAATGTGCCCATGACTGACATTATTACTTGCAAAGTGACACATGTCAAGGCTTTTTTATAACGTTGATGATTATGGTTACAATCAATTTTTAAACTATTCTGTTTTTCAGAGCTGAAACCCAATTATCAACACAAATAAAGGCATGATTCATCTCACGTTGTGTTTAATCAGTCTGTCATACATTAGTTCACATTGTAAGTTGAATTACAGAAGACTTTTGAACAATATTCTAATTTTCCAACCTGTATGTGGCAAAATGAAACACATCCAAAATAAGTTTGTCTACAAAGATTAAGAATACGGAGTACGCTAAAATAAAATCTATTCGCTGTTGCCTCCAAACGGGTCTGATTGCTCTAGTCCGGGTCTACACGCAGCACGCTTTATTCAAAGGCGTCCTGTAACATCGGCTTAACACGCAAACGTTGGAACTGCAATTGTAAATAAAACTGCTCTCATATGCACACGGCAAGCACAACTCCGACAAACAAATTGTTACAGTGAGCAGAGGATTTTCATATCAGTCATTTCATCAGTAATTACCTGCAGAGTGACAGTGTACGTCTTCACAATGAACAAACAAGTGAGTCACCTCTGTGCGTCCAAATATTTGCATTTCTAACACAAATTGAATGAATGACTTAAATGTAATTCTATAGAGTTATATGGTATTTAATTTTGCTTTCTAAACATACTCACTGAGTTGAAATCCAAGTCAGACTATCAGCATTTTTGCATCTACACATAGGAGACATCTCCAAGTTTGCTGTTGTAATTTAAAGTAACTGTACGTAATTGAGGTGGAAAATCACTCGAGTGACAATACAAAAGTTTAGACCGTACTATGGAATATTCTCTGTTGAAATACATTATGATGATTGTGGTCAACACAACAACACCCACATGTAAACAAACACGAGGCTGCGTCAGGTTTAAGATAAGTTGTGATAAGAAAAACTTTATTCGTCCCACAGTGGGGAAATGTCAATGTTGCAGCGCACATACAGGGCAGTAGTGAGAGCACACAGGGAGTACAAATTATACAAAATAAGTAGCTGCTGTTTCTTAGCTAGCTATAAATCAGGGGTCTCCAACCTTTTTGAATTGGAGAGCTACTTTTATGAACCAGAAATGGCAGAGCTACTCCTTTTAGCAGTCGTAATACAATTCTTTATAATAGCTACAGCTAAAACACAGTTTAATGTAATCTACCATCACACTGTATCCCTGCATTCATGAAAAGAATCCTTTTGAGGAGCTACCTGAAACGAGGTGGCGAGCTACTGGTAGCTCCCGAGCCGCAGGTTGGAGACCCCTGCTGTAAATGCTTCAATATCAATATTTCTATCTACATCTATCTATTGATATCTATTGATCTATATACTGATATTGATAATTGTATGTATATAATACATGTACTATATACATACAAAAAGAGTTAATGAAAATGAAAGAATGAATAAATGCTAGAAGTGCTTTTTCTGCTAAAAAAAGTCACTTACTTTCTTACACGTGCACACTTAACAAGACCCATCTGTGTCTCCAGATTTCCTGTAAACATGTTCAAATCAAATACAGTGATGCTTCTTAATTACAAACTCCTTGTGGCCACGTTCTTCCTGCTTTAGTTCAAAAACGAAAAGCGGATTGAGCCTATGTGAATTGTTTCATTGGTGATTTTAAATATTCAACCCGCTATGGACCTTTAGTCCCTGATGTAAGGACTACACTTGACAAAATGTATTTGATTGATTGATTTGTTTGTCTCTCCTCAGCCCGCACTGAAAGTACAAATACAGAACCACGTCTTACTGATGTCTCCTCATGTTCAGAGATCTGTGTAAAAAAAAAAATCAAATCAAATCATGTATTGCTTAAAGGTTGGTGATAAGTGACTGAAGTTTCAAAAACTGAAGTTATGAAAAAAGACCAGCAGGGGGCAGTGTTGAACAGCTTTCTCTACACAGAGCAAGAAGCCAAGCATCACAGGTGCAGATGTGAAGTTCCCCTTTTTACAACAGCAGGAGTCTCTCCTGCAGAAAGGTTTACAGTTTGTTCTGGGTTCAATTCCAGCTTCACGGGGTCTTTCTGTGTGGAGTTTACATGTTCTCCCTGTGTCTAGGATTCCTCTGGATGCTCTGGTTTCCCCTAGCACTACATTGAAAAATAAACATAAAAAAAGAAAGAGAAAAAAAAGGTCATAGGTAGGCCCTGGTAGTCTGTAGAGAAATGTTCTCTGGCGCCTCTGAAGACGAAATAAGCGTCTTTATTTGGACAAGGCCCTAATGGCGACTGTACAGTATTTTACTTATAACAATTAATCAAAATATCAATCTATTCAAATCCATTTATTTTTGTATATCCCTAAATCAAAGGAATTTACAAAGTTGCCGATTCTTCAACAACAGATCAGAGAATCAAACCGTTCAAATGCAGGAAACGCAATGATAACAAACACAAACTGTAAAAGCCATTTTTTCTGACAATTTTCCCAACAGGCAACGAGCTGAATGGGGAGAAACTGTTTAAACAAAACAAAGAAATAGGATTAGATTTAGAACCAATTTACTTCTTGCACATTACTCATCCATCCACGCTAACATGAGGAACTTCTGGCACAACTCAGTATTCTGTTAAATGTTTTGGATTGTATAGGAGAAATTATGAGTATAGCACAGGTTGTTGTTCTTCCATTTTTTGGCAGTAGCTTTACTCGTTTTAAAACAACACCAGGAGGGGATCTAACTCTGCTGTATTCTCGCACTCTGCAGTCTTTGAAACATTAAGCAGACATCGTAGTTAGTTCAAACGTATAAAGAGTGAATGAAGTGATTTTTGCGACTCTCTGCGGAACGTCTGACGGTCGAAGGAAAAGTGCGGAAAATGACGCCGCGGCACAAAATGCTGCCAGGAAAACAGACGAGAGGGACGCACTCTGAGGACTTGTGTTTATATTAACCATGAAAAGATCTGACAACCACAAGGACATCCACACATACAAACAAACCCCACCCCTTCTGTCCAAATACTCCTCTATCAAACTTGGAACTCCATGATGAATGAGATCATGATGTCATGGACTGAGGCATTGTTTAGTGAGAGAGCCTCTAGATCAGCCATTCCCAAACTCAGTAACACCGAGGCCCCCTTAAAACTCTGACGGGTCTGCGTGGCCCCCCAAAATAATAACCAAGAAGACAACATTAAGAATAGGCTCTTCTGGTTATTTTATTTTGGGGAAATAGCCTCTGCTACAAACATTGTAATACAAAAATGATTACAGTGGATTATTCAAGTCAAATAATGAACACAAATATTTTAATATTACAAACAAAACATTATAAATTTAACATTAAATAATTATATTATTTTTTTTATGACCTCCCGCGGCCCCCCTGCAGTACCCTCGCGGCCCACCAGGGGGCCGCGGACCCCACTTTGGGAGACACTGCTCTAGATCAATAAAATCAACACAGACTTATAATTTAGGTTTTTATGGGTTTCAAAATATAGGTATGACTATATTGATTCACATTTGATGGAGATAAGGTTGGCTGAATGATGAATGTGTTAAAGCGAATGACTTTGTGTTAAAGCGGAAGAGGGTGATATGAAATTACACAGATAAAGGTCAAGGTGCACTGCTGCTGCCGATGAATCGCCCTACTGGGATTCCCAGTAGGGCAATTCATCGCCAGCAGCAGTTCAGCGCCCAGGACCCCATCTCCAAATTTACTTATTTAGACATTTATTTAAAGAGGAATAACCCCATGAGATGCATCATCTCGTTTTTGTGGGGGTCCTCTATAGACAGGTTTATAGCAGAGTAGTCATTTGATGTACAACAACAGCAAAAGAAACAAAATGGCAAAAAGAAAATATAACAGATTACAAATACAAAAACACACACATACACACACACACACACACACACACACACACACACACACACACACACACACACACACACACACACACACACACACATACATACACACACATACACACACATACACATACATACACACACACACACACACACACACACACACAAACACACACACACATACATACACACACACACACACACACACCACTCTCATTTACCCCCCTCCACTACCAATACATTACAGATAATATTACATTCTTTTGAAAGCATGTTTAAGAAGTACAGTTACAAACATATCACACGTGAGTGAAAGGTTAACATTTCTCATGTACACAAACCAATGATTAAACCATTAGATTACGGGCAAATATAGAAAAGCATTAGATACGCTGCAAACTATCCAACAAAAAAAGAACCACAAAGACTTTAACTAAGCCCTTCGATTGAAGTTGTCCCACTCATTATGGACTGTGGTTATAAACATAAACAAATATTTTGCAAGTGTGTGAAAGTGGCTCTTCTGAAAGTAAGAAATGAAGTTATGGAACGAATAGAGGCAGGAAGGCTGTTCCAGTCTCGAGGGGCTTTAATTAAGAAAGCGTGTTTCCCTACGTCTCTGATGGCTCTGGGAACTGTAAGGAAAAGAGTGTCATTGTGACGGAGACTATAAGATGAGTTCAGCAGTGGTTTACACGAGTTTCCCAAATAATGCTCAAACGGGAATTAAACTCTGAGGATACTGGGCATTTTTGGGACACAGCAGTGCTCTTTGATTGTGCTGTCATTGTGTTTTTATAA